TGTACTATATTTCTAAACTCTTTCTTAAAAATAATTTCTTTTTAAAACTTTTAATTTGTACAAATTCTCTAATGTTAAAATAGTATTTGGTAATGGAACTCTTTGCTTTTTCTTCACAATCTTTACAGCTCTCTGCTGTATGATTTAATGGGGAGCAAGTTTGTATCCGAGGCAGATCCCCACACTTCAAGCCCATAACTCATGACTGATTCAAAGAGGGCTGTATAAGCCATGTTTACTATGTTTGTGGGGAGCAGTACTTAATTGTGATAATTTATACAGGCAACACCTCAACTTCCCACTTAGCATTTTAACATGGCTTTTCCAGTTTAGGTGTTTATCAACTATCACCCTAAATACTTCACTGACTCCACCATTTCAATATTCATTTTGCAGGTGCAATTTGCAATATTACTGTGTATACACTCAATAGAATGAAATCTTAGGTTAAGATCTCTTCTTGCAATATAAGGAGTGGATATATGCATTACTTTAGTCTTTGTTCCATTCATTATGAGATTCTTATCATGACACCATTTTTGGTACTCAGTAAACTCCTCCTGCAGTCTTGCCTCAGCTATATCTAGTTTTTGTGTACAGAATTATCACAGTATCATCTGCATACACAAAATGTTTACATTTTTTGAAACACCTTTTAGATCGTTTATATAAATCAAGTACAGCAGGGGACCAAGAAAACGCCTTGTGGTACGCCATACTTAAGTTTTACACAGCAGCTGTCAACTCCTGCCACACTTACCTTACACATTCTGTTTTCCAGATAACTTTTAAACAGTTTGTACGCTTCTCCTCTCACCCCAATATTTTCTAAGCTTTTCAATAATTTTTCATGACTAATGGAATCAAAAGCCTTAGACAAATCCACAAACATTACAACAACATGCATACCTTTATCCAAGGACTCATTTACTATGTCAGAGAAATTTTGTAACAGATCAATGGTACTCTTTCCCTTCTGATACGCATATTGGTGTTCATCAATCACTTTGTACTTTTTGAGGTATGAGAATAAATGTGTATACATATATAGCTCAATTGCCTTGCTTATAGTTGATAAAATGGAGACTGGTCTATAATTACTATATTCACAGGGTGATCCAGTTTTATAAATAGTCCTGATTGTGGCAATTTTGATTTCATCGCAGAAAATTCCTTTTCTTATTGAGTTTTGATTGTTTTGTAATATTGGAGCAACTAGTTCGATATTGTCACTTAGGTGTGATACCTTAATTCCATCATCACCAGGAGATTTTTCTTTTAGAGTAAGAATAATTTTTATCACATCCTCTATTGGGGCACGGCCTGGACGTACCCCCGTCGGGACGTTCCCCCCTGTTTTATTAGTATTTCTTACAATATATTTATTGAATATTTTTATTTGATGGATATTGTTATTAATTCTTTTCGAGTTGACAGAAATAATCAGCCGTCGTCCCAGGAATATTTTTTACATATGTTTATAATAATCAAAATATTCTCTTCTCTCCTCGAACTGCATGCGGAATTTCTAATGGTAGATGCGCATGCGGACCGACGGATGGCTTCCCTAAAACTCTGACACTAAAGGGTCCAACCTGTCTTAACCAAACCTAACGGGCTAGCGACAGATCTTGCGCTACTTGCAACAGATCTTACGTCGTGACAGATCTTACTCTACTCGCGACAGATCTTAATCTATTCGTGATAGATCTCATCTCGTGATTGATTTTAGTCTACTTACAACAGATCTGAAGTCGTGACAGGTCCTTCTCTACTCGCGACAGATCTTAGTCTACTCGTGACAGAGATTACACTGCTCGCGCCAGCTCTTCGTCTACTTGTGACAGACCTTGCGAGAAACTCCGCATGTAGCTCATTAGAGAGAGGAAAATATTTTGACTATCTAAAAAATATTCTTAAATATTTTTGGGACGACGGACGATTATTTCTGTTTATTCCAGAGTGAATTAAAATAATATCCACCCAATATATTTATTCATTAAATATATTGTAAGAAATACTATAAAACAGGGGGGGGGAACGTCCCGACGGGGGTACGTCCCGACGTTTCCCCTCTATTGTTGCTTCTGGTAAAAAGAAAGAGTTGGTTATTCTGTCAGTTGCATTCTTCAGCAAGAGTGTCGGACATTCATGCATAATACACTCAACCTGATCTTTTGAAAGTATTGACAAAGTTATTGGCAACCGTTTCTATTTCTAAGATACCCAAAATTTTTTGTAATTATGTGTCAATATTTTCACTCACTTTGTTATTTAATACAGAGTTTACCAGTTTCCAAGTAGCCTTAATATCATTTTTACATTTTTTCAAATTGCTCCTCCATATATCTTTCCTTGCTTCTTTTAATAGAGTAATTATTTTATTTTCTGAGACCCTGATAAACTTGTCTCAGCTCCAGTCTTTTTAAGTAGCTTTCTTTCGAGGACACTTTCCATCTTTGAAGGCTTTATCTCTCTCATGCATTAAGCGAACAATCTCATCATTTATCCAAGGTTTTCTTACATGTCCATTTACTTTCTCTCCTTCATTTTAACCCTTATGGTAGCAGACGAAAATGCCTCTCTAAGTTCTAAATAATTTTCACTTGGACTTTCCGTCATATTATTTTTGACACTATTTAAGTTTTCCTTCCACCTCTTTTTTACAAGTATGTTCTTCATTTTGTTTTCACTTTTTCCATCTTCCTCACATTTATTTTTATTATTCTGAAAAGAGAGCAGAGCTCCTACCATATAGTGATCACTAATTTTACATTTTATTATTGCAGGATACACATTTTATAGTTAACACTTACCGCAATATGATCAATACAGGTTTCACTTAAATGGTTTCCAGCATATTCCTCTCTGGTACATTTGTTAATACAGTGCCTGATTTATTACTTAATAACATATCTATATATCACTTGTGATTTTACCTTCCTGCAGAATATTATATTTATGTCTCCTATTTTTACAGTATTTTTCCACGTTTTTCCGCTTGCAGTAGATCATCTATTTCATCCACCAAGTCCGCTGTCTTACCATAGGGGGGTCTATACACAGCCAATATTGTTGCTTGTCGTCCTCTCCCATCACATACTTCCCAACAAATTCCCTCAAAATTTTTCGGGGTTACACTGATTTGTCTAGAAGAGAGAGTGTCTCTTACAAACACCGATAGACCACCACCTTCACAATTACTTCTGATAACATTTATACTGCTAAAGTGATGTAGCACATACTTTTCAAAACTATTTCTTATTCTAGTCTCACTAAGAACTACGGAGTCATTATAGACACGCAGCGTTTAAATAATAAAAACGGGTCTTATATACACGCAGCGTGTATATAATATATATACATCTTATTTTCACGCAGCGTGTCTGCAAGGCCGAGTTTTATTTACACGCAGGAAAAGTTTTGCTGCGTGTAAATAATATTTTGGCTCTTATTTAAACGCTGCGTGTCTCCAAGACACCAAAAAATTATTGGCACGCAGGAGTGTAAAAAGTCTTCCGACCGGCGACTGAGTCCGGCATGGCGGCTTGGGGGTGAGTGGGTCCGTGCTTGCACGGGAAATTTTTTTGGGCCCGGGGTTTGAGACTTGCCCTTTTTCTCAAAAAATTTCTGCGTGTCAATAATGAAAAACCCGGGGTTGTTTCAACGCTGCGTGTTTTTAATAAATTCACATGTAAATTTTCACGCAGCGTGTCTGCAAGACCCAGTTTTATTATTTACACGCAGGAAAAGTTTGCTGCGTGCAAATAATATTTTGGCCTTTATTGAAACGCTGCGTGTCTCCAAGACACCAAAAAATTATTCGCACGCAGGATTGTAAAAAGTCTCCCGACCGGCGACTGAGTCCGGCATGGCGGCTTGGTGGATGGATGGGTCCGTGCTTGTACAGGAATTTTTTGGCTCTGGTTCGAGACTTGGCCTTTTTCTCAAAAAGTTTCTGCGTGTAAATAATAAAACTTGGTCTTGCAGACACGCTGCGTGTAAATTACATGTGAATTTATTATAAACACGCAGCGTTGAAACAACACCGGTTTTCACTATTGACACGCAGCAATTTTTGAGACAAAGGCCATAAGTCTCGAACCCGGTCCAAAAAATTCCCGTACAAGCGCGGACCCATCCATCCACCAAGCCGCCATGCCGGACTCAGTCGCCGGCCGGGAGACTTTTTACAATCCTGCGTGCGAATAATTTTTTGGTGTCTTGGAGACACGCAGCGTTTCAATAAAGGCCAAAATATTATTTGCACGCAGCAAAACTTTTCCTGCGTGTAAATAATAAAACTGGGTCTTGCAGACACGCTGCGTGTAAATTACATGTGAATTTATTATAAACACGCAGCGTTGAAACAACACCGGTTTTCATTATTGACACGCAGAAATTTTTTGAGAAGAAGGCGAGTCTCGAACCCGGGCCAAAAAATTCCCGTGCAAGCACGGACCCACTCACCCACCAAGCCGCCATGCCGGACTCAGTCGCCGGTCGGAAGACTTTTTACAATCCTGCGTGCCAATAATTTTTTGGTGCCTTGGAGACACGCAGCGTTTAAATAAAAGCCAAATATTATTTGCACGCAGGAACATTTTGTCCTACATGGCCACCGTCGGTGGACGTCTGAGGGGAAAAATCCTGCGTGTCAATAATTTTTTTTCTGTTATGTGCACGCTGCGTGTACATAAAGTCCAATTTTATTATTTAAACGCTGCGTGTATATAATATTAGTCTAAGAACTATGATATCTATCTTTTCCAATACTTTATCCAGTAGTATACATAGTTGATCCCAGTACTTATGAATCGTTCTTATGTTTAAATGTACAATGCACAAATCACCCTCAGTCTCCTTTTCACCTATCCATTCTTCACATGTTGAAACTTCTAAAACATCATTAATATTCCAATCGTCCACAACAAAGTCCGTATTCATAGCCATTTTATTTTTCCAGTTGTATTACACAAGTGCAACACCAAGGAGACAAATTACCTTATTGCTTCGAGGTTTTCCTCCGTCACAATCTTCACAACTGGAGAGTTTTCACCTTTCCTAGCAAACAGTTTTCCATTTTTGATCCAGACAAATTTCCAGTTATGTCTATTTGCTAATTGTTTGGCTTTGTACTTTAGATACCCAATTTTCGGCGAAACTTGCTCCATGATGAATACCTTGCCACCTTCACCAGAGTAGATCACATCGTTGAACACTTCCTTTTGCTTCTTTTTTCTCAGTATTTCTTCCCTGATCTTGCGTGACCGCAGTTCCACCACTATTGGTTTTGGGACCCCAGGGCGTTGCGTAGGAATTCTGTGAGCTGCTTCGATGTCAGTCTTCTCAATGTGCACATCGAGATGCAAACACTCTGCACACAATGTCCTCCACTTTTTCACCATTTTTTTCAATCACACCTGATAACACAATGTTTCTGTTTCTGGAGTGGTTTCTAGATCTTGGATTCTCTCTTCCTGCCTCAAAATTATTTCATCCTTCTCGGCGCACTTGTTCAACAGATCACTCACTTCATTTTTCAGTGATTTCACCTCCTGGACTAACTCCACGATCTGCTTTTTCATGTCCTCGTACTCCAGACTCACAAATTGTTGCCCTTTAATGCTTTCATTCAGATCGTTTTTCATTTCCAAGACGATATTCTTGAGCTCAAGTATGGTAGCCGCTGTCAGGTCTTGCTCGCCAGCACTCAAACTCAAGTTTCTCTTGTCACTCGAACCACTCCTGTTGTCTGCTTTACAGCCGCTGCATTTCCAGGCCATCTTTCTGTTCATGCCCATCGACTTGTATGATGACTCCGTGATGCCAGCACATTTATGATGTAAATCACTCAGACAGACAGACAGACAGACAGACAGACAGACAGACAGACAGACAGACACAACGGGGAGAACGAATGGCATCGTTTACAGAGTCGCACATCAGCGGGGGCGGGCCGCGGCCATACAGAGCCCCTTGCAGTGGCCAACGCACTGCCTTACAGTGCCCCGCGCGCTCCAAGAGGACGCCGTCGGCGCCGTCCGTGGTTTCCGTGTCGGCGTGACTCCGCTTCCCGTCGAGCTGCCCGTCGACGTGGCGGAGCAGGCGAAGCTCACATTTGCATTTCAATTTCGCGGCGTGCACTAACAGCACGCGCCAATTGAAAAGGCCGCGGGAGCGGGGAGGACGGACGGACAGACTGACGGACAGACTGACAGGCGGACAGGTAGACGGACGCGCCTGCACTGTGGACGGCGAGCAAACAGAGATGCAGATACCGCAGACGGCAGGGCGGACTTAAGGGGGGACATCACTCCAAAATGGTCAAAAATTGCAACTTTTTTTTATGAGTTTATGATACAGACCATTCCTTTCTGCGTCGAATGGTGAAAACCGCATTCTGAAATTCAAAAAATTGCAGCTTTAGGAGGTTGTGGGCCGCAAACATGCACAAGGGAAAAGCCCAGTTTCCCCAACTTTGATCCCGTTTTTCTCGGAACATGAAATTGCAAACGGTTGCAGGCCTCTAGGGCGCAGTTTTTGAGCTACAGCGGGGAGATTTAGCATGAAAGCTCCTACGACATGCCGCTATGGTGGGTAGCAAAATAATTTGCATTGGTCAATTTTTATTATTTTTTTACGTTCAAAATTGAACAATTTTGACCAAAAAAAAATGAACAATTTTTTTTGGTGTGTAACAAACACAGCTTAAAATGACCTTTTTTAATGTGATTGAGGTACCCACTATAGCCAGACATCTCAGGAAGGCTGTCACCAAATTTCGTTGTTCTAGGTCAAACCGTTTGGCGTCCAGCACTGCAACAGTGCGAAATGGTCTAACCTAACACTCTAAAATGTGTTTTCAACGAAAGCGCTGTACTGCCTTGGCGGATTGACTTTGTGTTGTTTGATACTTTATCTGTTAAAATATGAACAATTTACCTCTTTCCGTTTGGTTTTTATGACGATTTTACAAAAGCACTGTTTTTGGAGTGATGTCCCCCCTTAATGCAGCCCAGGTTGTGGGGCGGGGCCCGCGGCTCGGCAAAGCAGGATCGCGAAAAAAAACTCTTATCTCGTCATTTTGTTCTGAGAGTAAAGCACTGAAAGCGGCGGCGCTGTGCTGCATAGCGGGTGGAGCGGGAAACAAACAATTTGTTTGGCCAACGACAAGCGGAGCAAGTCGTTGGCGATAGTCGACAACACTTGTTGCAAATGAGGCCCGTTTAATTTTCATGAACGCGATAAGAGCTTGTAGTGCGCCACCAACACCGCAGCGGGCGGCCCGTGGACAAAGTATGTCCAGGGAGCGGCCGGCCGGACAGTCTGTCTCTCTCGCACTCACGGGGCGTGCCGACGGGGTGCGAGAGGGACAGTCACCGGTCGGTGACGGAATCGAAAGGCAATTGTCACAGATCGGCAGCGGCTTTTCACTAAATTAAATGCGACGAGCGCTCTCCGGACTGGAGAGGGCTCCGGGGACCGACCCGCCGCGCCGCGCCGCCCGGCGCCGCCACTGTAGAGGGTGACAAACGGTGACAAATGAGCGCGTGTCGCGTCGTCTGCTGCCGATTGGCGGGCTTGGCGGGCTTGGCGGGCTTGGCGGGCTTGGCGGGCTTGGCGGGCTTGGCGGGCTTGGCGGGCTCCACGCGCACAGTGGGCCAGAAGAACGGTGGAGGCGGCCAGAATTCTAGACGCCTTTTGGCGCCTTTCGGGCTTCAAGGTCGCTTAAAACGACTCGAACCGAACGCGTGACCCCACCAATGGATTGCTCGCCGAACGAGGAATCCATAGGTGGGGTCACACGTTCGGTTCGAATCCTGTTAAGCGACCACGTAAGCGACTCAAGAGCCCAAAAGGCGTCTAGAATTCTGGTCGCCTCCACCGGTCTTCTGGCCCACTGTGGCGGCGAATCGCGGCGAATCCACACCGACAAAAGCGAGCGGGCTGAGTTTTGCCTTGCAGCTTGCACTCCACGACTTGCTTATGAGGCCTCGGGCGAGACAGAGGATCCAGGCAGGCGAAACAGCGGGGCAGGGCGGGCAGGGCGGGCACGGACCGGGACCACGCAGAGACGAGGGCCGCAAAAAGAAGCCCCACGAAATGTGAAATGCTGCGCGCTGCGCTCGGGGCAGCCTCCTTAAACTACAGTAAACAGACCGAGGCAGCAATTCAAAGCAGTGTGGCGGTGTGGCGGCCACGGCCATGGGGGTCGCCCGGCCGAAGCGCCGCGCCCTGGCAGGCAGGCAGGCAGGCAGGCGCAAAAAGCCCTAAGCGAATCCCAACTTTAACTGCAATCCAACTCGCCTCTCCAATCCCTGCCCGGCCTGCCTTCGCGCTGCCACACAAAAACTCCCGGCGCGTCGCGCACTGCCAGAAAAGTTCACGAACACGTGTGCACGACGAACGAAGCGCTAAACTTATCCGGAGGGTTTAGGGGAACATTCTTCGCAGCGCAGGGCATGCGAGTGGGAATTGTTTCCGATACATCGCGAATAGAGCGCTTGGTTTTTCGTCTATTTACGGAAGAGCAGGGGGAGAACAAAATCAAAGGAAAGGGCGCTAACGGGGAATCAAAAACATCCGATAAGCAGTGCACACTTTTTTTTTGTCTGAGCGAAAATTCACAGCCATGAGAAGAAAATAACGCAAAGTCGAAAAAAAATCGCAACGCAGGCAAGCTGCTCTGCTCTCTGTTCCGGACAGTGGCCCCGCCCCGCCCCGCCCCGCGCAAGGACAGCAAATAAGCCCGCCGCCTGCATTCTGGCCGCAGCCGCTCGGGGCTAAATTTGTGGTGCCCGGCTCGCTTCTTTATTTTCCGATCGCCCTCCTCCGGACAGCGCGGCGCAGCGGCGCGGTTCCGGAGCGTCGTTCCGTCGCTCCGTCTCTGTCGCACCCTCACGGGACGCCCGCGAGTGCGACAGAGACAGAGCGACGAGACGGTACTTTGGAATCGCCCGGCGCAGGGCGGTAGGGCGGCAGGGCCCTGTGGCCGCGGGCAGCGACCCATCAAGCGTCCGCACTGCTGCACTTGCCTGCCTGGCTGCCTGCCTGGCTGCCTTTGCACGCCCAGTGGGGTTCGTCAAGGCAAACTAACTAACGAGTCGCTCCCCCGACACATGAAACGACTTGATTTAAAAATCAATTTCAGTCTGGGAGGTGGCGTGCAAATATTACGTCACCTCTTTTAGGCCTCTTTTTGACCCCCTCCCCCGTCCGTCATCGGTTTAACGTAACCTTCTCATGTACTTAAGATAGGACCGTCATCAGAGGCCGTACCCCCACCCCCTCCCCCGAAAAGTGATGACGTAATATTTGCACGCCGCCAAATGACAACTTGCAAACTGTTTCGTGTTTTCAATTTTCTCCTCAAATTCTCATTTGTCTAATGTGGCTTTTGATGAGAAGACTTGATTTTAGATATGATGACACCTGAAGCCTCTCGCCACACACTAAGAACAAAAGTGAAACTATTTCCTGTCTTTGTTTTTCGATCCGTGTGCTGGTCTACCCGGGCGTCCTTGCGCTGCAGGGCTGCAGGCTGCGTCCCCGCCTCGGTCCCCGCAGTGCAGTGCGCCGCAGTGGCATGCGATGCAGATGCACAATGGTGGCGATGACCCCCGGCCGCCAGACCACACGCTCTGCTGGTCAAGCCGCTACGCTGTCTGTCTCTCTCGCACTCGCGAGGCGCGCCGCCTCAGCGACGCGGTGCGAGAGAGACAGAGCGAACGCGTGACGCAGTCACGCCCAGTGTGCTGTCGACGCGGCCCAACGAGATGAACCGCCCGGTACCGTGCGAGTGGCCGGGCGGCCGGCAGACCGGGCGTCTCACAGTGGGCCAGAAGACCGGTGGAGGCGGCCAAAACTCTAGACGCGTTTTGAGCTCCAGAGTCGCTAAATGGGACTCGAACCGAACGTGTGACCCCACCATTAGATTGCTCTCCGAACGAGGAATCCATTGGTGGGGTCATACGTTCAGTTCGAGGCCTGCTTAGCGACTCTGGAGCTCAAAACGCGTCTAGAGTTTTGGCCGCCTCCACCGGTCTTCTGGCCCACTGTCCGCCGAGTCGCCGTCGTCGCCGAGCCCCCCGGCATGGCTTCGTCGTGACGGCGCTCTGCCTCGCTGCGCCTCGTCGCTCTGTCTCTCTCGCACCCCTACGGAACGCCCCACGAGTGCGAGGGAGACAGAGCGACGAGGGCACTGCACTGCCTCGTCTGCCGGCGCGGCGCGGGGCTTCCGCTTCCAGATCGCGACGCCGCCGCCGCCGCAGTCTCCGCGACGCCGTCTCCCTCGCACCCCTAGGAAACGGCCGGCGCGCCAGAGAGAGACGGAGCACTCGGTAGCGCGGCGGCGGTGGCGGCGATTTCACGTGCTTCGTGACGATTAAATCGGCACGGCGAGGCGGCGAGGCAAAAAGCGAAACAAAAGTACGCGAATAAGTATACGGTGCACAAGTGCGCGCCGTGTGCGATCGACCCACGTCACGCGCGGGATGGCTGCAGCCGCTCCGGAGCACTGCAGCGCTCTCTCTCTCGCACCTCTGCCGGACGCGCCGCGAGAGCGAGAGAGACAGCGAGCGGGCAGACGGTAATGACGCGTACCATGTACAAGTTGGTAGAATTCCATTCCCCTTTTGCGCCTTTCGCTGACGAAGACGAAAATAGAGAAGGCGAGAGGGGAGCGGCGGCAGGGCCTTCAGGGCCGTGGCGGGGAGCGGGGGCGGAACGGACGGAACGCACGTGCGATTCCAGGATTCCAGGGAAACACGGCTAATGCGTGTGG